AAATAAAGTTGTGTCCAAAAGTTGTTTTTTGTCACGATTACCAGGATCTCAAACAGGGGATTATAATGTATAACTCTGCCAAAATTCAAGGTAGCTATTACGTAAACTAAATATGTTTTTACCCTAGTTAATTTTATTTTGTAGTTTTCTTATAAATAATCTAAAGATTGCCTGTTAATGTTTTGCAGAGGTACTGATTTAAGAACACACAACCTGGGTTAATTTAAGATAAGGAGTTATCACCTACAGGATAGAGAGATAGACATTAAAGCCCAGTACTCTTAATATAAGGCTGTTGAAACTTATTTGCTGGATGTTTAAGATTAAGTTTTAAAATTAAAGTTAAATTAAAGGGCCAAGAAAACCAATATTTGGCTCTTGCCCTCTGAGTCAGTCTGAATCAGGGAATAGGGGACTTCTCCAAAGAGATTTGCAACTCTGGGCCACATAACCTCCTGGATCAGGAAGATTAATGAGACCAGTGGAGGACAGAAAGCCAATCAGTGTGTTTGCTATGAAGAGTAGGGTCATCAAAGAAGGGAGATATCCCTGATGCTTCCAAGGGAAGCCACATGGTCAAGCAAGGCCTGGACCCATCCTAGCGCAAATGGCACTAGCGGAACTGAGAAGCTGCTATAAGTTCCCCCAGGACTCCCAGGGAAACTCAGCTGACTGTTAACAATAGATAGAAACAAAAGTCAGTTTGACTTGCTTCATCTTAAACACTTAGCAAAGACAGTCAAAGCCAAAACACAGCTATTCCTGGGCATTTAAAATAATAATAATAATAATAATAATAATAATAATAATAATAATAATAGTTAAATGTAACTTCCATGAATAAGTAAACTGGAGGCTGCAAAAGAGATTCTTAGGTAGGAATGCCTGATAACTATCAAAAGAAACTGCCAGAGTAGTTTTAGTTTAAGGCCCACAGATATTCCTAACCTACACAGGTAGGCTTGGTGTTTGCTAGTATGAGTATCCAGCCCTAAGTAACAGAATTAAAGACTTCTCTATTAGACACAGGTCATACTAGTAAAAGGACTTTGCAAGATCAGATGACATTAAATTATTAAACTGTATCTTAAGGGGAAGGACATCTGTAACCCTAAAAGTTAAATGTTATGTTTACAGTCCTGATAACTGGGGATGTTAAAGCCTGGTGAGGGAACTTATGTACAGTGACATGTTCCAGCTGCTGCAACACTTATTCAGTACTCATGTTTTTTGTTTCTCTCATAGAAGCACCCATCCCCAGATGACAACCTGTTTTTCCCCAACCAGACCTCAAATGGGACTGACTTCTAAAAGGGAACTCATGTCCCCCATGTTGTTGTCCCCCATGTCATCGAGCCCCCTCATGTTCGACACCCCTTTTCAGCCTGAAGCAGCCAGAACGAGATGTCGCCCCTTCTCACCCCTTCTCCTTACAGCAATAAAGTTTCTAAAATTAGGGGAAATAAAGCCAGAAATGGTTAGGCAGTGTAGATAGGTAAATCGAGTCAGGTTGGATCTAGAAGGCCAATTTTAAGTGAGTTTGGGAAGTTGAAGACTGTCCCCTGAGGATTACTGTTTACCAAGATGTAGAGCCTGCCCAAATAGGCCCCCAACTGAGGAAACCATGATTGGTTCCCAAGTTTCCAGACAAAGGGGGGAATGAAAAACCAGCCTCTATCTCAGAGCAAAACCTGTCCAAGGAAGGGACATGGCCTTTGTCCTTGGAAAAACCCACAGAGCACTCCTAAGCACATTCCCACCCTGCTAAGTTATTTATCTACAAATAACAGAGAGATCTGCTGCGCCAGGTGTCCCTGACTCAGTCAGGGTAGATGGGGACCCATAGCAGCCCCCTAGCAGCCACCAACCAGGCATAGTACGCACTAAAATTAAGCAGCTTCAAGAAGATCTAGAAAAGAGAAGAAGGGAACTATTTGAAAATCCCCTCTGGACTGGGCTTAATGGATTTCTACCCTACCTTCTTCCCCTATTAGGCCCTTTATTGGGTTTACTTTTAATGGTGTCCATAGGACCCTGTGTGCTCAACTGTGTAATTTCCTTTATCCAAGCTCAAATTGGACAAGTTAAACTTATGGTAATCAGACAGCAATATACCTCATTAGCAGAAGCAGAGTGTGGTACCCCTCAATAATTTATCACTTTTAAGATTAAAAGTAGTCAGAAAAAGGAGTGGGAAATGAAAGGTTAAAATGTAAAGGATAAGATTTGTTTTAAGTTCTGTTAAGTTACAATTTCTTTAAGTTCTGTTTTCCTGGGACCTGAAATTTATGGAGGGGTCAAAACAACTTCCAGAGAGACCAGTAAATGTATGTTGAGAAATCTCTCCTGACCATCTGGTCACTCTGTAAAAACAACCCCTCCCAGAGACCATGCAGCTCAGCACGTACACACCTCAGGGCTTAATCCAACCAGTTCAAATATATACCCCTTTGTTTGTGCTGACCAATCACCCCTACCCAACTTGTTCCCACCAGTGAATGTGCTAATCATGTTTTAGAGTTGTTATTTGATTTTCCCGCGGTATGTGATGATTTGCTAAGGGATGCTGTGATGTATGTAAAGTCCCTGCCCTCTCCAAAGAATGTATATAAGCTCTGCTTAAGTTGTTCTCGGGGGCTCTCTGCTCCATTCAAGTGAGCTCTGAGCCCCAGCATGCTGGACCCCCAATAAATCCTCTGCTGTTGCATGAGACAGTCTCTTGGTGGTCTCTTCCTCTGACGCTCATCCGACCTTAACAGTTTCAGCCCCTCAGTGTTGAGCAGCAGGTAGTTCTACAGCAATAGTTATCAGATATATGATAGATCTTCTAGACAGAAGACTCCAAAATAGTGTCCTGTTTATTAAGGTGAATTGCTTTCCTCAAAGTCAATAAAAAAATCTAACTTGAAGGATAGGAAAACAAATTTTCAGTGCCCCCACTATCTCACTGAGTGAGTGACACTCTTATTCTCCATCAAAAAATTCATCGAAAAGTGGGATTCTCTCTGTCCTGGTCCTCACCAGTGCTCGTGGCTTCTTATCATCATTTCCCTGCTCATCTGAGTCTGAGCTGGAAATGTCCCAGAGAATCTGTCCCCGGGCCTCTCGTTCATGGAGCCATGCTTCCATTTTCCCAATTTTTCTGTGACAATATTCATTCCTTGCTTGATAGTCCAGAAATTCTGCAGCCTGTGAGTTTCCTATAAAAGATGAAAAACTCTTTTAATTTATGTTTTTCCCAACATTGTCTTTTTTGTTTGTTTGTTTTTCAAATGCCTAGGTTTTTGTGAACACAGAATAATCTGCTTGGTATTTTGTTTGGTGTGTGTGTTTGTTTGTGTGTTTGTGTGAGTGTGTGTGTGAGTATGAGATCTCTCTCTCTTTCTCTCTCTCTCTCTCTCTCTCACACACACACACACACACAATTCCATGTGGTGTCTCTGTAAGCATTAATAAAATATTAGTCATTATTTTAAAAAGTTTTAAATCTGGGGGTGGGGATGCGGCTCAAGCGGTAGCGCGCTCGCCTGGCATGCGTGCGGCCCAGGTTCAATCCTCAGCACCACATACAAACAAAGATGTTGTGTCTGCCGAAAACTAAAAAATAAATATTAAAAAAAAATTCTCTCTCTCTCTCTCTAAAAAAAAAAAAAAAGTTTTAAATCTCCTGAAAATCAACCTATGTACTCCAACCCTTTAACAACACTTTGCCACATATTGCTTTCATCTGAGCCATGTAAGAATTACTTAGAGAGTCACTTTTCCCCTAAATACACCACAAATCTCTTAAGAGTAAGCACATTTTCCTTATATGATTATAATACAATTATTATACTTAGGAAACTTAATATTGATCTAATACTATTCTAATATATAATCCATATTCAAATATCCATGGTTGGTCCAATAGTGCTATTTAGAGCAACATTTTGTTTATGTTTTGTTTTTATTTTTTTGAATCCAGGAGTGCTTAATCACTGAGCCACATTCCCCAGCCCTTTTTAATATTTTATTTAGAAACAGGGTCTTGCTAAGTTGCTTAGGACCTCACTAGGTTGCTGAGGCTGGCTTTGAACTTGCTATCCTCCTGCCTTATCCTCCCAAGCTCCTGGGATTATAGGCATGTGCCACTGTGCCTGGCTCATGTTTTAATTTTTAGGCCCAGAATCCAGTCTAGAATCATGCATTCTATTTTATTTTCTTCTCTTTTCATCTCTAATTAGAGAATCCTGGGGCTGGAAGTGTATCTCAGTGGTAGTGGTAGAGCAGTGGCCTAGTACATATGAGGCCCCAGCACCACAAGAAAACAAAACAAAACAAAAAAACCCCTAGCCTATCCACATAAGGTCCTCTCACCTCTCACTTCCTTTCTCCCTCATCCTCCGATTCTCCCCTGCTTCTTCTGTCTTCATTGTTTGCAATGCTGACATTTTCTTTTCTTTTCTTTTTTTTTTTTATTGCAGTATTAGAGATTAAGCCCAAGGGATGATACTGACATTTTAAAGAGTACAGGTCAATTATTTTGCATAATGACCAATCTTAGGCTTTTCTGATTGTTTCCTTGTGGTTAAATTCAACATTTTGGACAAGGATATTGAACATCTACTGTGTGTTAGGCACATGATGCTTTTTTAAACTTTCACATCAACTCTGACTTCGTATCAGAATCACCTGTGCAGGCTGTAATGCCAAATGCCCGGACCACACTGCAGATCTATGGAACTGGGGAGCTCGGTAAGTCAGACTTTGTCCTTTTCTTTTCTTTTCTTTCTTACTTAATTTATGTGTGAGGTTTGATTATGTGCTCATATATATTTACTTTAGCTTTTTAATTTAAGCAGTACCCAGCCTTCTTTTAGAATGCACAGAGCAATGTGGACTTTGCCCAAGTAAGTCTGGCTTTCCAAAAAACAAAATCTTCCCAATCACTTCTGAGCTAGGAAAATAATCCTAGGTCAAAGTCTAAAGTCTCCACCAGTCTGGATGGAGCAGATTGAGTCATATGAATGATAATCGCTTATTAAATCTTTTGGCATATTTTATTTAAATCATTAATATCTGAAGTTTTTTACTATTATATAAGAAAATCAAGTGTTTCTTTTTTCCTCTATGCAATATATATATATATATATATATTTTTTTTTTTTTTTTTTTTTTTTTAATTTTTTTTTTTGGTATCGGGGATTGAACTCAGGGGCTCTTGGCCACGGAGCCACATCCCCAGCCCTATTTTGTATTTTATTTAGAGACAGGGTCTCACTGAGTTGCTTAGTGCCTCACCATTGCTGAGACTGGCTTTGAACTCACGATCCTCCTTTCTCAGCCTCGCGAGCCACTGAGATTACAGGCGTGTGCGGCGCCTGACATCTATGCCTCATATTCTTAAAAACTACTTTATTGAGGTATGATAACATACAAAAACCAGTATGTACATATTTAATGTTTACAGCCTGGTGAGTTGAGAATCAAGTATTGCGATGTAAGGATTCATGCCTGTGACATACCAGTTTTCTTTCTGCCTGAGCAAAGGGCTTTGGAGGAATACCATCATCATTGTTATTTTTTGCTTATTTACATAGCCATGATAGATAGCTAGTTAATTTATTTCTGCAGCCTTGACCTCTCCTCTAAGCTACAAGCTTTTTTTATGGTAAAACTGGACAGTTACACTTTGATGTCTATTTGATGTCTATTTCTCTCACAAACCTGCTCAGATCTTGGCTACCCTAATCCCACAAATGGTACCACTTTTGCCCCATTACTCATTCAGTTATTCAAGAGGAACCCAGGAATCTACCTGGCCTTCTTACTTTCTCCATTTACCTATGTCCAAAACATCACCAGGTTCTGCAAAATTCTCTCATCTGAACCCTCTCCACCCTCATCTTCGCTGTACTCTCCCCATCCACACACCATTTTTCACCTGTGTTACTGCTGTGTTCTTATAACCACATGCACAATTGCATTTCCTTTCCATTTCCTTTTGCATTTCTCCACAATGTAGACAGAGTGATATTTAAAAATATAAAACTGACCATGCCACTCCCATCAATGGCTTTTTCTTGATCTTAAGATAGACTTCAGAATTCTTATTTGACATTACCTGCAATACCTGGGTTGATCTGGCCCTGTTGATGCCTCAGAACCATCTCTAGTCACTCTTTGAACCTCTCTGCTCTGACAAGTATCTAGAACCCACTGAGCTTCTTCCCACCACAGGGCTTTTTCACATGCTGGTAGTAATTACAGTTTGAATGTTCCAGCATTCCTGGTTCTCATTCTCATGGCATTTCAGCCTTTTCTTCCAGTTACTTCATGTCTCAGCTAAATGTTACTTCTTTACAGAAATCTGACCTTGCAGGTTATTTTAACTTCCAGTTATACTCTCCCTGAACATCTCCCTATTCATTGGGTATACTATGAAAGCTCCAGAAGCCAAGATTCACATCTACCTAGCTCACTATCATAGAGTAAATCTACCACACCATGCCTGGCACCTGTTATATGATCAGTAAGTACCCATTGAGTGAGTGAGTGAATAAGTGAATGAATCAATGAATGATCAGAAAATTTTAGGAGAAAGTGAGAAGTAGTGGTAATTAGGACCTGGGAAAGACTTCATTCGTTGGGATTTAGGGGTATCAGTCATCTCTGCTCTGCAAATGAGCCAAAACTATTCAAGGCATCATCTAAGTAGACTAGGAACATGAGTTTTCTAAAACATCTAAGTAGAGTCAGGAGCTTTGAAACAGGAAGGAAATGTTTGTTAGTAGTGTGATCTAATGTAATATTAATGATAGCTTCAATCCCACTGCCCTGTTGATGCTATGATAATTCAGATCTAAAGTTACAGCATGAGGCAAAATTCACACATTCAGTTTTATCCTTGAAAATCAATCACTGACACTGTATTAAATATATGGTTCTGTGTACCTAGCATTAAAGTTGAGACCTTCTGAGCTAGATGTTTTATTACTTCTTACATTTCTATAAGATCTTTGGTTCTCTGTGGTTTATAGACTTAAAAAGAGTAAAAAACAAAAACAAAAACAAAACCATAACTTTAAAGAACTTAAATGGGTTTTGAGTGAGCAGAGTAAAGGGCAGGTGTATCCTACTCCAAAATTAACTGGAGAAACCACATAGGCCAAGGGGGAAAACCTGGGGAGTGACTTGGGGAGTGATTTAGGGTGTACAAGGATCACGGAACATGGCCAATGTTGGTGGTTGTGTGCTTTATAATATGTGTTTTAGAAAAGTGTACCACTACTATGCCAGACCCACAATTTCACAAAGTTATATTTAAAAAGCAAAACAAGACAGTCTGCAGGAAAATAGTACAGGTAGCCAGATAAGAACAGAATTGTGAAGTAATTTTCAAATGATGGATTTAGGGTGACATTTCTGTGAAGCATATGGTTGTTTTGCTCTATGATATCAATTCCATCCTCTCTGTTTTGTCCATTCCCCTATATGTTTAAAAAGTATTTTACATTTTATTTGTGCTGTTACACACATAAGGTTTATTTTTACATAAACCCTACATGGCAGACAATATTTATTCCCATTTTGCTGATGTCGAAACTTAGGTTCACAGAGGTCATGGAAGTGTAATTCAGCTATATTCTGTATGTAGAATAAAACCATGTAGAAAAATATACAGTTACTATTTATTGAGAGGCTAGTATGTGCCAGGCCCTGTTGTAGGAACAAGAAAACGTGCTGCTCTCTTGGAGCTTATGTTTAGTGAGTGCTCTGTTGGGACTCAGTGAAGGACTTTGACCCCGTGTCCAGCACCTTCCCTCCACTGTATTCGAACCATGGCTTCTGGAAAGGGGAGACGCCTCAAAAGCACATCAAAACTCATACACCCCAAAGAGCAATGCTCACTTCAAGTATGTTGTATATAATTATACAGGTCATATGATCTATATATGTAATTTATCAGGGAAATATATATAAAGTATATGCAAAGAGCAGGTGATTTTTAAAGAGGCAGCAGAAAAGATTGATTTTTTTTTCTCACAAGAGGGCCAAAACTCTCAGCCCACCTTCCAAAGGGAGAACAAGAAAGGGTGAATATATCATTGACTAAAAGGGGACTGTTACAGAGGAACCTTAATGGCCAAATGCTGACAAGCAGGATGCTCAAGTACATGTAGGATCTTGGCTATGCCCCACTTGTAGGAGACAGCAAAGCTAAGTACTTTTAGAAAGCAGGGAAAGAAAGCAAAGATGCTCCCTGGAAATAAAAAGGACTCATTGCTAGACCATCTGCCAAGTGCAGTGGGGTGTGTAGGCTCTGGAGTCAGGTGCTCTGAGCATGGATCCCTTGAGCAGTTTCACAACTTGCAAGGTCAAGGCTATGATCTTGACCATGGACTTGACCTCTCTGGATCTAATCTCCTCAACTGTAAAAGAAAGTTGGTAATAACTCACCTCACAGACCTGTTATGTGGAGGATTCAATAATGCATTTAAAATGTTAGAAACTACTTTTAAATACTGGCTCTGCCCATTATTATCCCAATATTCTATACTTTAATATGTACAGTGTACAATGAGACTTATAGCATAGAAGAGAAGGGTCATCTGGCATGCACTGTAATCTCTCCATCAATGAATAAATGCTCAGTGATATTTGCTTTACTTCCCTTTCCAACAACTCCAGCAATAGGTTAAGTGTGTTGATGCAGACCATGAGATTCTAATTACTTGTGATTTCATTCTAATGAGAAGAATTAGAGTTTCATGCTAGCAAAATCTACATTTTTTTAGGCTCATTTTGTCATGTGTACCCTCACATACAGGTGCACACACAGGCAAAGGAAACACACACACACACATTGTAAAGAAAAGATTGTCATAAAATTTAAGTGTTGAGGGAGTTCTCAAGGGTTATTGAGTCCAAGTTTGGCTAATCTTTAAAGTCAGTTCTGGGACTTTTAAAAAGTAGAATTCTCTGGACCCCTATCTAGAGATTCATTCAGTAGGATGAAGGTGGGACTCAGGAATCAGAGCATTTGAAAGCTCCCCAGGAGTTCATGACCAGGCTGTGCTTCACCTCCCTGCCTGGTGAGTGGCTTGGCTTCTGCCCGTGTCACTTTTTCTGTCCCACCCTGGGAGAGCTGAGGGGCAGGAGACCAAGCAGGTCAATTCTGTTCATTTTAGAAGCCCCAGAGTGCAGCCTTCTTCTAAAAGGGAGGGTTGAGGAGTCTCAGCTGATAGGTTTGCTGGCTTTCTTGAGGTGTCTGCACAGAGCTCTGAGTCCTTGGGGTCCTGATGAGCCTGTGTGAGCTGATGGGTAAAAAAGTCCGGACTTTGAATCCTGGCTGTCACATGGAGTGCACAGTAGTAAGTCCTACATTCTAAGTTGTATGAGAATTAAAGGAGACAATATCTGTTAAGGGAGGAGCACAGACTGGTTTATCATGCACACTCAAAAAACCTCAACTTCCACAAAATGGAACCACTTTAAAAAGCCCAGGACAGCAGAGGAAAACCCCCTTTTCTGTGTGCCACAGTCTCTCCTGGGCCCCTCCAGGTCTTGGGGTGTATTCCAAAGCCTTTTCCAATGTTGGTTTCCTTTTAGGTCTTAAGTGATGAGTTGTTGGAGTGTCTAATTTTCACTGAGGCTCTCTTCTTGGTTGTTGTGCCCAATTTTTTTTTAAAGGGCGGGAGAAATATTGGAGGAAATGTGATAATTTGAGTTGATAGATCTTGCCAGCTTCAGTGAGCCAATCCATTGGTCAATGTCTGTTTTTTTTTTTTTTTTTTTAAAGGAAGGGGGGGAGAGGGAGAGGGGGGGAGAGAGAGAGAGAGAGAGAGAGAGAGAGAATTTTAATATTTATTTTTTAGTATTTGGCGGACACAACATCTTTGTTTGTATGTGGTGCTGAGGATCGAACCCGGGCCGCACACATGCCAGGCAAGCGCGCTACTGCTTGAGCCACATCCCCAGCCCTTGTGCCCAATTTTTTGAATTGTAAAGGTTGTTTATCTCTGTGCTACAAAGCATATTTCATTCTGAGATTTGGGAGCACAGGTTAAATGGATGCCCCAAGTGGATTTTCAATTATTCAGCCTTTTCTTATTTAATTAACTTATTGATGAAGCATCTTGTTTCTCTGAGCTGGGGCCATGTCTCTTTGAGCAGGTGATTTTGCATCTTAGAAGTTCTAGATCTCCAGAGACATGGTCAATGTTTCTGCAGCTCTCTCCGCAGCCAGTCCCACTGATGTGGGGTTTGGCCCACAGGTCAGCACTGCTTGTGCAAACAAAAAATGTTCACTTTCAACTTCAGGTTTACCTTGGGGAATATGGGCAGGGAAAACCGAATGGGGCTCTAATTGGTGGGGTAGCATAGCGTCAAGGTTGAGGACAGATATGTCTCTTAAGAAAGTTATGAATAATCTGAGTTCACAGAGTAATTTGGGTTGGTTGGACAGGAAATTGGCAGGAGATGATGCTAGGAAGGAGGGCAGTAGCTAGAAAGGCCTAGAACCCCGTGTTGAGCACTTTAATTTTGTCTTGAACACTCACAGAACAATTTTTTTTTAAGCAGGAGAATGGCATGATCAGATTTGCATTTTATGATTGCATGGAGAACTTCTAAAACTTCAGTGTGTATGAGAATCACCTGGGGATCTTGAGAGTGGATCCTGATTCAGTAGGTCGGGGGGCTCTGGAATTCTACATTTCTAGGCCACTCACAGGCAGTGCCTATGCTGCTGGACCTGAGGTCCTTCTTTGATCACTGAGCAGAGTAAAGAAATACTTCAAGTTCTGTGTTTCTCAATCTTTAGGGGCATCAGGATCACCTGTAAGATGGTCAAACCTAGACTTCAGGCCTCACTTTTGCAGTTTCCGATTCAGCCACTGTTTCTGGGGCCTGGGCAAGTTCTCAGGTGATGCTGATACTGCTGGCCTGAGGACCACACTGAGAACCACTGGAGTGGAGGGTTGCTGAAAGGTGGGTAAGATGTAAGGGGGAGACCTGGTCAGGTGCTATAGCAGTAGCCCTGGTGTGACAGACTGAGGGCCTGACCTAAGGTGACACCACTGAGAACAAAAGAGAGGACAGATTTCAGCATAAGATGACCTCAACAGGACTTTGTGACTGACCAGCTGCAAGGAGAAGGAGAAGAAAGTCTGGAGAGGGCTCCAGGGCTCTGGCCTGAGACAGACTGGGCATGGAGGCCTCATCTAGTGTCTTGGTTCTGCAAGAAGAGCCAGCTTGGGGAAGGCAATGATGATGGATACATTTGAGGCCTTCTATGTGTGCCCAGGAGAGCTGATCTGCAGAAGGGACAGGGATTCTGCATATGATGTCAAACCAGCTAATGCAAGTTTGCTATGTGGCTGCGGGCTATTTAATATTTCCACATGCTTCATTCTAACCATAATTTAAGGCTTTTTTTGTTTTGTTTTACCTCTTCTCTTCCTAGGGATGGGGTGAGGATTCTAATAAGGTATATAAATCATGTTACACCCATAAAAAGGAAAGAAACATCTTATTACAGAGCTTAAGCTTCTGTCTTTTCCCCCCAGCTACCCAAAATTATATAACAACATGCCCACTACATCTGAGAAGTAAAACATCAGCAAGAAACCAAGGATGTTTGCTGTCTTCCCACTCTCCTTCAAACCCCCACCCTAGGAGTATATTTGATGAAGTTTTAAAAATGCTTGAGATATTTTACTAAAAATGCCACATGACTCACCTGGGCCTCTGTTCATGGTTTCATCAGATAACGTGGTTAGAAGGTCATTATCTTCATTCCCTGGGATGCTTTGAAGAATTTTCTTGACTTTAAGGTTTTGCTTAGTAATTCTTTCTTCCCTATGAAGACTCTTCTTCAACTCCATTTGGACCTGAAAATCAGCAATAAATGGTCAATGTTCTCTTCAAGCTATCCTTGCAGGAATAGATCAGTAGATTAGCCACTGTGCAAGTTGTAGATTGTCCACAGACATCTTGTGGTCCCTTAACCACAATAAAATTTTCTTTTTCTGTTAGAAGGTGTGGTGACATTTTTTTATTCTCAGGCTTGTTAGGAGAAAGGGGAATGTGCCCACAGTCTAAAAGTATTGCTCAATTAAGGCGAGGATGATTGTAGAAGCCTTTCTCTGTGGAATTGTAGTCAGTTACTACAGGCTCATTCCTCAGAGGCAGGAATTTAGAATATGACAGTTATGGGACATCACTGGTAAAAAGGTTTATTATCTGTTATGGTTTGAATGTGTCTCCTAATAAATGAATTTACTCCCCAAATTCATATATTGATGGTATTTGGAGGGCAACCTTATTAAGGCTGTGATCCCAGGATCCTAGGGGTGGGTTTGTTTCCAAGTTTAGTGCCTTAGCTCTCTTTCGTTCCTGTCTTCTCACTCTCACACTCTGTCACCGTGTGATGCCCTCAGCTATGTTATGACGCAGCAAGGCCCCTACGAGATGCTAGCACTTTGATCTTAGACTTCCCAATCTCCAGAATTGTGAAGCTAAGTTTCTTGTCTTTATTAATTCCTAGTCTGTGATATTCTGTTATAGCAGCAGAAAATGGACTAAGACAAGGTGTTTCTTATAGGAGAATTGTACAACATGATTTAGAGAAAGAGGCCTAGGTGTCGGAATAAAGACCAACTCTTACCCAGCCCCACTCCTTTTTTTTTACTATTTATTTTTAGTTTTAGGTGGACACAATATCTTTATTATTATAATTTTTTTTACGTGGTGCTGAGAATCGAACCCAGTGCCTCACACATGCTAGGCGAGCGCACTACCACTTGAGCCACATCCCCAGCCCCCCCACTCCTTTTAATAAACAAAGAAAAATGATCTACTCCATTTTCCTGCTGGAGCCAGAATGTCAGAGAAGTGACCTATTTTAAAAAAGGGAGACTTGAGGCATAGATATATTTTCAAGGGGACTGAAAACAGAGAACAGAGTCAGTAGGGTTGTTAGCAGAAATCTTCCTGTCTTCCCAGGTTCAGTAGTTGAATCTTTAGCTCCAATGACTTTTAAGATACTAAGTCAGGACTAGACATGTGCACTTACTATATTCATGTGCCAGGGCAGTGATTATGTGGTATACATTTGGTAAATATGACATTCTTCTTATATTTACCTCTTGTCTTCTATGGTTCATTTCCAGCATTTGCATTTTATGCAAATATTGTCTTTTCCCAGAAGTATATGTTGGAGTTTGCATTTTCTTTTCCAGTTTTTGCTATGAAAGATGACACAGTCATTAGTACAGGGTAATTTGTTACTGACTGCAATCTACAACCTTAAATTCTTCTTGGAACAGAGTGAGATCTTAAGCCATTATAATCCATAGAGATTTCTTGTGATGATAAATGTGGACTACTGTGCATCCCTGACAAGTCCTTTGTATCACTATCAGTGAGTGAAGTGGCACTTTGCAGTATATATAAGGTAGTTTTAAAGGTTCCTGTAGAGTTTTGCAGACCTCGAATGCAAAAACTTTGATAATTTCATTTTGAAAATCTCACTTTGACAATACATAATTTTCCCTGCTTATTACTATCCCTCTAGAAATGTGTTCTGATTAAATGACACCTTCCTTTCTCTCCTTGCCTCTTCTACCACTGACTGATTGGCTGGTTGTAGAAGAGCCACTGACTGGTTAAATGGAATCTATTTCCCTATGGTGTATTCTCATCCAACAGGAAAGAGCAGCTTGCACACGTGAGAATGGCTAGCTCTGAAAGGTTCTCACTGCAAAGGATTTATCTGTTTGATCTGGCTTTGAACTCTTTAGTGCAGACAGGACATGAGAAAGACCACTTGCCCTGTTCCCATGCAGCCTGTCCCCTGCTAACCACCCCCTCAGGTGACTCCCATAGCTCACCTTTGCTTTGTGCCTTGTCCAGGTTTGTTGCTGGCTCAGGAGTCTTTCGGAGGTAATTACTTGTGGCAGGTCAATGGGTTCAAGCTTCTAGAAGTCCAACATTAGAGTATTCAGCATTCCTCATGCCATGAGATGATGAAACACAAAAGCCAGTCATTAAACTATCTGAACACTTTGCAGTAGCACTTATTCCTGCATAGGGAAGGCGATCTCAATGGCATTACAGTCGTTATCTGTGCCAAAGGCTTTTTGACGTATCTGGGTTCTTTATTTCTATTGCACTGTTGCTGGTGACTTACCAATTGAAATATTGGTCAGAGAGTTAAGAGACTAAATTGTTTTCTGTCTGCACTGCATGTTCAAAGTATCAAATAGCAAGTTCTTAGAATATTAGATGTCAAAGAGGTACCTGGAGGTTACTTTATTTTACTAATCTCTTGACCACCCAGCTGACCTATTCGACTCCTTAGGGAAGGGTCCTGTTTTTAAGATCTCCAGAGAAGCTCACTCAGACTCCTGCAGTGACAATCACAGGTAATTAGGAGAAACATTTAAAGTGAAATGCAATGTGTTAACAAACCTTAGTGATGTCTTTTTCTACAGAGTCTAGGCTTCATGGAGGACATCATATTTGAGTTTTGAGGGGTCACTAAGACTGGGTGGTAACTCATGTCCTTGGGTCTGCCTATAGCCTTTTAAAAATCTCAGATGTCCTTGTGTTCCACAAGCTGAATAGCAAGACACTGAGAAGGGACTGAGCAGACTTGGGAGATGAAGCTGGTCTCTTCACAATGTGATGTGCAATGAGGGGCCTGGAGAGTTAATTTTTCACCCAGTGAGCATTTGCTGAATGACTGCTGCATGTCAGGCATGGGGATGCAATAGCCAATGAAAGTGGACATGTCCTTAGTGGAGCTTATAATCTATGGGCAACAGGTTGACTTTTGCTTACGTAATTATTTGACTGATAATTAAAAATTGTGATCAGTGCTTTAAATAAAAAAGTATTTGACAACATATAACTGGAGGACCCAACCTTGAAAGTGAATGGGGCATGTTATGGGTTGAATTGTGCCCTCTACCATTTACATGTTTAAATCCCAACCCTTCATACCTCAGAATCTGATCTTATTGGGAAATAGGGTCAATGCAGAGGCAATTAGTTGTGATAGAATAAACTACCATAGGATGGGCCTCTAACCTAATATGTTGGTTTTCTTATAAAATGGAGAAATGTGGACCCAGACACATTTATAAATAGGACACCATGTGAAGATAATGGCAAAGACCAGGAATGTCTTGTTTCCACAAGCCAAGGAATGTCAAAGATCACTAGCAAATGATCAGAAGCTACAGAAGAGGCATGGAACAAATTCTCCCTTACAGCCTTCAGAAGGAACCAACCATATAGATATCTTGATTTCAGACTCCTTTCCCCCAGCACTGAGTTATAATAAGTTTATGTTGTTGTAGTCACACAGCTCGTTGTGCTTTGCTATAAAAACCTTAGAAGGCCAGCTGGGGGGAAAGGCTAACAAGGCAGTCCAAGATAGTTTCTTGAGGAGGTAATTTTCTAGCAGAATTTGGAAGATTGGGAGTTTTTAGGGAACTAAGGTGTTCTGGGCAGAGTTAACAGCCTGTGCTCTGGCCCCAAGGCAGGGTGGTGATCTGTTTAAGGAACTGAAAGAGCTCAGTTGACTGCAGCTCCAAGTGAGGGAAAGAGAAGCTCAAAATGGGGCTGGAGAGCTCAGGTAGGGCCAGCAGGCCATTCTAATGCTGGTCCATCTTAAGGGAAATGGGAAGCCACTGGCAGTATGAAGCACAGTAGTGACATGATTACATTTGCTTTAAAAAATATGATAATTCTGGGTGCAGTGTGGAAATGATATTAGAGAAGAGTAACTATGAAGTGGGGAGAAAAGTGAAGAGGACAAAGAATGATGAACTGAGGTTTCAAAGAGGATGGACTGAAGATGACAGAGGAACATTGATGGCTCTATGAATATATAGACCTAACTAGAGAAGAAGAGCCAAGGCTCCCAATGACACCCAGAACAAAGGATGGATAGTGTTATTTACTGAGTTGGGGACCCTAGAGGAAGACCTCTTTTGGGTGGGATTTAGAAGAAAGATAAAAATTTGGTTTGCAGAAGGTTGAGTTGGAGACATCTTTGAGAAATATGAGTTTAGGTGTTGAGTAGTAATTAGTTAGGCAAGGAGCTCAGAGGAGAGGTCTGTGTTGGCTGTACACTTGGAAATCATCCCTGGGGAGAGCATGACTGAAACCAAGGTCAAAGGCAAGGTGAAGACTGAGAAGAGCAGTGCCAAGGACAGCAGATTTGAGCTCCAAAACTGAGAAACTGGTGGATGGGGATGAGCTGGCCAAGGAGACTGAGAAGTGATGATTCAAGTAGTAGGAGGAAAACCCTGAGAACATCAAGCTGCGGGCCGCAGTGTGAGCACCACTCCCACATGAACCAACACCAAAGACAAATGATCATTTATTTAAAAATTGTTTCATTTTGGTGTGACTTGTTGCATTGTCAAAAAGTTGACCTGGAAGCCAGCGTGGCTTTTAAGGTGACTGTGGAGAGCAGTGGTCTAAATCATGGCCCATCTGACTCTCATGGCTGTGTTTTCACTGGGAGCTGCTTGTTCGAAGGTACAGGTCAAGATGCCCCAGTTGCTATGGTAACGCTGGCCAAGGGTGTCTATGGGCAAAGGCATATGGCATCATCAGTTGAGGCCTTGAGTTCAATACCTTCTCCCAGGGAGAATGAATTCTGAGCAAAACAAGATGACCCTAATGTCTCTCCAGTCCTGTGTCCTTAAGATTGCCTGCTTCACTGAAACTTTCCCACAAATAACCTTTTGATGGTGAAATCTGAACAACAAACTTGCTGAGCTAGTTCTGGAGTCAACCAAGCCTCACCAGAGCTTAGTAACCCACCTGGCCCCAGCTTATTCTCCCTATGTGTGTCTGTTTGTCTTTTCTTTATCCCCCATCACCCACAGTCCAGTATCTTCTTAATTAATGGCTGCACCTGAGAGAGGTGAGAGAGTTGTGACAGGTGACTAGGGTAAAAAGAGACAACAGAACCATGAAAATAGATGCCGAGTATCCACTTTTCTGTGGACTTATTTCCTGGCTTCTGGTCCTAAACTTGACCTGTTTTTGGGACAGCAGCCTTTCTGCTGGAGCAGTTCAAATTTGACCTAGCAAGGAATAAAAAAAAAAAAAAAGTCAAAGGATATGGAGACAGGGAAGGGACTTAAGGGCAAGGAGCTCCTCTTTATGTTTCAGGCATTTTGCATTTGTGGTAGGAACTACTTTTCTGTTCCATTTTCATATCCAATAAGGAAGTGGTCTTTTAAACATAATTTAGCAAAAATGTAATGAAAAATAATCAATAGTAGTAAAAGAAGTTCGTTTCCCTAGCTCTCAACTTTGTGGGACATGAAAATGTCAAGCAAATGAATCTTGCTAGCATCGGATGCAGCAAAGGATTGAGTCAGAATGCTGAAAGAAGGGAAGACAAGATAGGGAAAGGGAAACCAAGACAGAGGGGACCCTCAAGACACCTGTGGGAGGATGGATCAGCAACAACAGGAGGGAACTCTTGGAGGTCAGAAGAACATAAAATTTTTTGTGCCATACTCCACACTAGGACAAGGTTCAGGATTTGGGTCTCTCCAATGAAGCCTGTAGGATTTTGCAGCCACTGCACGCTACACCTAGGTAGAAATTTGTCACCTCACTCAATCCTTAGGTGCATCCTCTGCATAATTATGAGGATCCCCATTTCAGAGAGGTTAATGACTTGTCCAAGTTTGCATAGAAAAGAAAGTGGCACTGCCAGGATTCAAGCTCAGGTGTGTCCAGTTCCAAACACCAGGTTCTTTCCTACTTGTTCCCCAAATGATTTATCATCAGAATCTCCTGGAACTAAAAAATAAATTCCTGGGCAACTCACTGGAGATTGAGATTCAGTAGATCTGAGTATGTCCTGCCTGTGAAGTGAGATGCCTCAATTCATCATCTCCAAAGAGAACCCAATAGAAGGAGATCTATCTATCTATCTATCTATCTATCTATCTATCTATATATATATATATATATATATCTCCTCTCCCAGGAACTCTGATGATTTCTTTCCAGACTGGGTCCATTTGCCTCCTCATTGCCTCAAGTAAGTAAAGAAACTACATCAAAATATGCTGTAAAGGATTTGTTTGCAAAGTCTTACTGAAAACTTGAGTCTGAAGAAGTCAGGCTATTTTATTCATTTTAAATCATCTATCCACAAATTCTTAGGGCCAGGTTTTTGCTTTTATAAGGATATGGGTAATAACAGATCCTTCTATTCTTGGTCTTTCAACTTAAATTCGCCTTCCTTCCTCCTTTCTCCTTCCTCCTTCCCTCCCTCCTTCTCTTTCTTTCTTTTTGTGCCAGGGATTGAACCCAGAGGGGTGTTAAGCTGAGCAACATCCCCAACCCTTTCATTATTTATTTTGAGAAGTGGTTTCACTAAGTTGCTTAGGGGCCACCCTAAGTTGCTGGGACTGGTCTTGAACTTGTGTTCCTCATTTCTCAGCCTCCTGAGCCGCTGGGATTACAGAGGTGAGATACTGCGCCTGGCAAATTCTTAGTTCTGATAAGGGCTAAGTGGTAGGTAAGCTCAGGAATTCTTTCAGGCAATTACTTTTTTCCTGGCCTTTGGAAAAAACCCAAAGAACCACACGATTCCTGCGGAAAGCCACTAGATGGCGGCAACTGACATTGCAAATGGGATCCCACCTTGAAGTCATTTGCTCTTGGCCTCCTAAATGTTACAGAAAATATTGCTTGGAAAATTGGTTTCATCTAAATAGTCAAACAACATTGCCTTAGAATTCTGGGTCCTCGTATGCATGTTCCTTTTCCCTGCCTGTGAAGTGAGATGCTTCAATTCATCATCTTCAAAGAGAACCTAATGGAAGGAATTACTAGAAAATGGGTAAAATGACAATTCTTAAAAATCATTTTATAATATCAAGATATGTATTATTTGTCTAAAGGCTTCTGAATTATTGGCTTCTCAAAAAAA